TGCAGTCAACACTCTTGCTACCAACAGCCAGGAAATGAAAAGATGAATTGCATTGGGAAAGTCTGCTGTCAGAGACCTCTCCAAAGTACTGAAGAGCAACGTTGTCATTCTGGAGACTAAGGTGTTCCTGATATAGGCCATGGCCTTTAATTACTTAGTATGTATCAGAGAGGTGGACAATGACTAGGAATAGAAGGAGAGTTTATGCCTTTGAGCTGTGGTGCTGTAGAAGAGTATTAAATATACCGTTCACTGCTAGGAGAACAAACAAGTTCGTCCTAGAGAGGTTGGGACCAAGCTGCTTCTTGGAAGCAACGATTCTCAAGCTTCATCTGAAATACTTTGGACATGTTGCAAGACGAGATCAGTCCTTGGAGAGGGATGTCATGCTTGGGAGGGTGGAGGTACAGCACAGGACAGAAAAACCCTCAATGAGATGGATTGAATCAATGACTGGGGTAATAGGTTTGGCTATGTCGGAGACAATAAGGTTGGCAAGGGATAGAGCAAGATTTAGGGTTGTTGTGCATCGGGTCACTGTGAATTGCAGGCAGCTCGACTGCACATAACAACAACAAGTTGTTTCTGGACAATGTGGTCTCTCACTGTTTTGATATACATCTCTGTAGTAGCTAATTATGTTGAGCATTTCTTCATGTGGTGTTGGCTATCACAAAATCTCCTTAAAGTGAAGAGTTCTTGTCCTGTTTTTTAATTGGACTGGGGTGTTTTTCTTGTTGAGGTGTTGAATGTTGTTTCTTTTCTTTCTTTTTTTTTTTTTATTTTAAAACTCCTCTAGTTCTCTCGTATGTCTCTGGTGGCCAGGAGCCACGCCTTGCCCTATGTGGGCTCAGCATAGAGTGAGTTTAATGTACATACTAGAAGCCGTGAAATGTCCTCAGACCTTTGTGAGGTAGGAGGGATGTTTTTCTGCTTGAGAATGCAGTGCTTCAACTTTGCATATGTCACCACTGATGGGTCTTCTGCTTCATGGTCCTGTGAAGAGGTAAATGGTTAGTGGGGTGTACATATATTTATAGGGACTAAGAGGGAATATTGGAAGCAAAAGTGGCACCACTTCCTAAACAATATGCCTCTGGGAACTCTGTGAACTTTGATAAATGCCAATAGTTTTAGAGGGGCTTCAAGCCTTTTGTTCATAGGGTTGTTATGAGTTGTGCTCGACTCAAAGGCAGTCAACAACAGTACATTTCAGAGACTAGTTATTTGTCAGATGCTGCATTACCATTTTTTTTATTCCAAATGTGTAGATTTTAAAAAAAAAACTTTTGATGCACATAAGGATCTTTTCAGAAGGCCCCTGGTTTCTAGTTTATTCTCTACTAGTTGTTCATTGTAGGCTATATTTTATAGTCTATTTATACAATAGATTAGGACCTCCTAATACCCCAATTTTTTCTTTGATGACCTTTATAGTTTTAGGTTTTACACCTAGATTCTTGATCCATCTCAAATTTGTTCTTTTCTATGGGGTTTAGGTCTTGTTTGCATTTTCTGCAAATAGATTTTTCCCAGCCCCATTTGTAAAAGAGGCTGTCTCTTCCACATTCAAGGGATTTCATCTCTTTGCCAAAGATCTGCTGCCCATAAAAAAGCCCTGTGAGGCAATTCTGTTCTGTCACATAGGACCACTATAACGTGGAATTGATTTGACAGCAGTAACAGTAACAGCAGTAGTAGGAATAATGAAATGTTCTCAGTATTGTCTGTTCATCCAAAGCCTGATTCACAATTACCAAGAATAACTACCTTTTTTCTCTTACTGTAAAAAATCCCAAAACAACTAAAAAATAATAGCTGTTAACCGTGTTAATTTTTTACTTACTTCTAATGTTGTTACTATGTGCTGTGGAGTCAGATACAGTTCATAATGGCTCTACTTTAATTAGTAAAATATTAAATGTCATGAGTTGATAAATTTGTTGAATTTTCTAATTAAAACCTTGTGGGAAAAAATGTTTTATGTTCATAAAGCAATGTAAGTAGTAGTTCCGTTGGTTATTTATAAAGAAACAAATAATTTTTATTTATGTATCCATATGTCTTTCAGGCCGTATATTGTCTGTCAGGGTGTTGTTTCTTCCCTTTTTAAAATATATGGTAAGGATATATGTAAAATAAAACTTGTGTGAAAACTTGTTGCCAACAATTCCATAAGAAAAAGGTACTGTTTGTTCATTCCTTGTTCTGTTCAGACTATTGCTTTTTGGTCCATTAATAGGTTACAAGAACAAATGAAAGGGAGACTGGGGGCAGCAGTTCTACTCTGAAAGGTGGGATCTTTTGTTTTGGGTGAGGGTTATTTGGCTTGTTTGGTTATTTTTTATTTAAGCCTCTTGTTTAGAGTCACCACCACCTCCTTGAGGGCCTTTGTATTTAAAAGTCGCGTAGGCCCTCTGGCTAGTGTAATTATAATTTAGAGGAGCATTCTTCTCACTGGTGCAGCACTAGTCTGTCAGTTTGCTGTACTGAGATAACCTGGAGTGGCTATGATGCTGAACTCTGTGCCATTGGGGTGTCAAATACCATAATGGTTACCCATGGTGGACAATGTTTGGTGGAGCTCCCAGAGTAAGACATATTTGGAAGCAAGTGTGTCGTCTGTTTCCTAAACAACATGCCTCTGGAAACTCTATGCCCTTTGAAAAACAACAATAGATACAAAAAGACTTCAGATTTTTTTTTGTTCACACGGTCACTATGAGTTATCTTCGACAACAACATAGCTTTCTCATGAGCACAGTCAAGTATTCTGGAATTCCCATTCTTCTCAATGTTAGCCAAAATTTTTGTGATCCACACAGTAAACTGCCTTTGCATAGTCAATAAAACACAAATAGACACTATTCTGATTACTCTTTGCTTTCAGCCACGAACAAGAAGCAGTCGTTTGAACAGAGCAAGGAAATACTGTATGGTTCAAAATCAGGAAAGGCATGTGTCAAGGACGTGTCCCCATACCTTTTCAATCTATGTGTGGAACAGATAATTTGTGAGGCTGGACTTTCTGAGGAGAAATGCAACTTCAGGATTGGAGGAAGATTCATCAGCAACCTGTACATTATGCCATTATGCATATGATACATCTTTGGAGGAAGATTCATCAGCAACCTGTACATTATGCCATTATGCATATGATACATCTTTGCTTGCTGAGACTGAGGAGGACCTGAAGCATTTCCTATAGAAGGTCAAGGACTGAAGTCTTCAATATAGATTGCATTTCAACATCGAGAAATCAGAGATTCTCACCACTGGTCCAATTGACTGCCTTATGACAGGTGGAGAATAGACTGAGATTAAGAATTTCATCCTGCTTGGATCCACTAATAGCACTCTTGGCACCAGCAATCAGGAGATCAAAAAACTAGTTGCATTTGGAAAAGTCTGCTGTCAGAGACCTCTCCAGAGTATTAAAGATCCTCAATGTCGAAAGATGGGATAAACTTTGTATACTGCATTGAAACGGATAAGGAAGAGAACTATTTAAAAGGGATATGTGATTAGGTATTATTGTCATGACAGGTGTCCAGAACTAAGGCTGCATATAGGCATGGGACTTGGGGAGAGGGATTGTATAACAATGAAAGAATTTTTCTTTTACATTTCAAAGAGAAGAGCTAACTGGGGGGAGGGGTGCACAGGGAGAAAAGTTCAAGAATGAATGAAAGAATGGAAATCCAAAATCTCTGTAAATTTTCATTAAAATTAATTATAACAATAAAAAAGAGCCTCATTGTCAATCTAGAGACTAAGCTGTGCCTAATCCAAGCCATGGCCTTCACAATTACTTGTTGTGTATCAGAGAGCTGGACAATAACTGATGACAGAAAAAGAATTTTTATTTCTTTGAGTTGTGGTGCTGGAGAAGAATATTGAACATACCATAAACTGCCAAGAGAACAAACAGGTCTTTCCTGGAAAGGGTGAAAGCAGTTGCTCCTTGGAGGCAAGGATTTTGAAACTCTGCTCCCATACTTTGACTGTGTTGCCAGGAGGGATTAGTCCTTAGAAAAGGGCATCATTCCTTGATTGGTGAAGGGTCAAGGCAGGAGAGGAAGACCCTGGATGAGATGAATTGACACAGTGACTGTTAAGTGTGGCAGATGTGTCAGAGACCGTGAGATTGGTATATGATAGGGTAGGATTCAAAGCTATTGTTCATAGGTTCACTATGAGTCATTTTCGACTTGACACCACATAACAATAATTTCTTTATTGCTTTCCTTTTTAATTTCCCCAACCTCTATCACACACTTAGTCTGTTAACTTACAACTTTCTACTATCTCTAGGGACCTCTGGTGGCTTAGTGGTAAGAAGTTGTACTGCCAACCCAAAAGCAGTTTTAGTCCACCAGCTGTTTCACAGAAGACAGATATGCTGTCTCCTTTTATGCATTTTACTGCCTCTGAAAACCCACTGGAGGGTCAGCTATGAGATGTTTCTGACTTGAGGGTACATGTTGTTGTTATATGCCATCGAGTCACTTACGACTTGTAGCAACCCTGTGTACAATAGCCCTGAAACTTCTGTCTTGTGCCAACCTTATAGTCTCTTAACATACCTACTCTCATTACCCCAGTTACTGAGTCAATCCATCTCTTTGAGGGTCCTCCTCTCTTGCACTGTTTCTCCACCCTTCCAAACATGATGTCCCGCTCCAAGACTGGTACCTCCTTGCAATAGGCCCAAAGTATGTCAAATGAAGCCTCAGAATCCTTGCCTCCAAGGAGCAACCTGGTTTCACCCTCTCTAGGACAAACATAGCAACAACAAATATTGTGTAGCCGGAGGCAGTTTCTAAAATCTTGGGATGTGTAGCTCTTTGAAAATTGAACTTTTCTTTTTTCCTTTTTAATTCATGTATTAGTTTTTTTTTTAAAAGGTAACTGCGGTGTTTTCATTTGAACAAACAATTTTATATCTCCTTATTTTCTTAAATTTTTATCATCTATATTTATATGTCTTGAATTTATAGGAGTGTTCCGAAAAACAAGGCCAAATTGAACGAGCCATTAGAGACAAAAAAGCAGTGGAAGAAGAGCTAGAAAAGGTAAAAAGAAAAAGGAAAAAGTAACTACCTAAAACCAAACTGCAAATGTTCAACATTACTGTCTGCTTCCATCATACTCTCCTACTAGTCTACTTACTAGCAACCCCCTTACTTAATAAGTATTCTCCTGGTGAGTGTTTTTATTTTTCTTTTGGAATATATTCAGAGTCTGCAATTTAAATACGAATATTACCTGCATGCATTTCTTTCCAAAAGTGACCACAATTTTTAACTTAAAAATATAAGTTCAGAAACTCTGTTTTGGAATACAATGAATTT